TGCCGTTGGCATATGTAATGTTGTAGCTTGTTCCATGCACGAAATGTTAATTAGTATTAGCAGTAAACAGGAAGGTGTGTCACCTTCAACTACCTTACATCGTGACATTATCAGCCGCCCCTCGTAAGTGAAGTCCAATTGGCTGTACGAGCTCGAAATCATTTTTGAAACATAATAGCAAACTCATAGCCATTTAATAAAATGGAGTTCTTGGTCATAACATTAGATTATATGTGTTTTATTTCTCCTTGAAAATCACATGTCTAAAAACACACACACGTACTTGCATATACCCCTCCCGCTGAAAAGTAATGCTTCGATCCAAATATCTCTATTATTCACAAAAATTGATATGAAGATATCCGATTTCTGCACTCCATACTCTACACATGCTAACAAGGTGTTAACCACATCGATTTCGAAGGCAAATACATACACTCACACATATGTAGGGACATGTGAATTAAGCTTAGGGAAATTGTGCTGCTCAGTTTTCCCCAAGCATTATTATTCAAGGCTGTAATTATGACAGAAAAAAAAGCTAAAATCTACATTTATACATATAAATATATATACACATAGAGCACTCATTGCCTCATTGACTGTGTAATAGTTTACAAAATCATCGTCAAGTATAAGAAGCTCTATCTACATACACACATATGTAAATATGTATGTGAGTATATTTCACCACCAATAAATCAATCAATTCATCAGTTGAAGCAAACAAAATTATAGTAACTAGGCCAAGTTCAGTAGACCAACTTAGCAATGAGCCGCAGATAATCTATTACAAATGCTTTTAAGCAAATTTTCTACATGACTTTATACACATACATACATACATACATAGTACTTTACCTTACCACGAAATTAAAAAAAAAACATGTAAATATATATAAGTTGGATATTAAGTATAGGCCAACAAAATTTATGCAATGTACGCATCTTGGCTGGAGGCAAAAATACACACATCGATTCTCTTCTTCTTCTTCTTCTACTAATTTTTTTTTTTTGTTTTTTTTTTTTTTTTTTTTTTTTTGTTAGAAAATAAATTTTGCTGAACGTGTTCAAGTTGATTTACTCACACGAGTGTTAGTTTAACAACATTATCAGATACACATATATGTATATGTATATGTATGTATGTATATAATCGCATATGGGTATCTCGTAGGCTTTACTGAGACAATCACTGCCAGTAGGCAAGGCGGAAAATAAAAGTGTAAAGATATTTACAAGTGTGAGGAAAGAACGTTAGATAATCGTAGAGACATAAAATCAAGGCTTTAAGCACGCTTTACATAAACTCAGTGACAAATTCGATTGAGATTTCTACTGTCAATAACAAATATGGAAAATAATAAGCAAAACTATGATTTTCAAATAATTTGTTGGTTTGAAATTTTTCTTCTTCTTCACTTACAAACTTTGCTGTTCAATACCATAAATTCCTTGAACAATTTTTTTAATTTTTAGTTTAGTTGGCAGGGCATAGAAATCTAATTTAATGTAATCTTGTATGTAGAAACCAATGTTGAGTAAGGATGAGAAAATACTAGAGTTTTTTTTTTGTAGAAAAATAAATTGAAATTAAAAAAAATTAATTTGAAATATTTTTTTTTATTATTGTTAATAAATTCTGGCAGAAATATATTAACAATTAACAGACTCGGTCGGATGTGGCGGTGCCTTTCGGTATTTTTTCCACATTTTTATTCTCAAATTTTAAGCAAATCGAATAATAAATATGAATTTTTCAGAAAACCAGACTGAGAACAGTACAATCTGTCTAGCTACGCTTAGGCTTAGTACAATATTTTTACGAATATGAATCAATCTCCAGTATACGCTACAGTAAGTGTTTAACATAACTGAATATGGATGAATGAGGGCTACATGTCTAAAGTTTGAGATACCAAATCTTATTCAGTGCCATGATTGATCACTTGAATGATAACGACACATAGAATTTGCTTTTTAGTCAGTTCAGCGCCAATTAGAGGCACCAAGAGAAGCCGGATTCATTTTATCCACATTTTAGCTCTTCCTCCTTCACTGTTACCACCGACGGATATATCGAAAACTTTCAAACAGGTAGTATCATCATTCATTCGGACCACATTGCGTAGCCAGCGCAGTAGCTGTTTCTTGATACGTTGAACTATGTCATTGTCGCCGTATATCTCGTTATGCTCATCGTTCCATCGACTACGGTATTCACGGTTACAAATACCCAAAATCTACCGCAGTTCTTTTCATTCCAAAACTCCTACCGCTGGCACCTCAAATGTAGTCATCATTCAAGCCTCCGCATCATTTGGCAGTACGGAAATGATAAGTGCCTTTTAAGGTTTGGTCTTTGTTGGTCGAGTCCGAAGTAGCACCTATTAGCGGCAACCCTGTGTGGCGCAAGAGAAGAATGCCGACTGTGTGCTTGATGACAGTAGATATTTCGGCTTGTCCTTTTGTACTACCAGACCCATACGCCTCCGCCTCCAATCTGAACAAAGCCCCGTGAGTTAACGGGAATATCTGGTCAATTGTTCGTTTTCCAGGTCTAAAACCACTTTGATAAGGTCCAATCAGTATGTTGACGGTGAGTATTAGTCTTGCGCACGGTATGCTTGATTATATTGACGCAGACTGTGGGCCCAGCTTTCTTATGGATTGGGTAGAACACATATAGTTTCCAACCGTCAGACATGTTTTCGCTTGGCTGTATTCTGCAAAGCAGCTGATGAGGGCTCGTTGTCAGTTGCTCGTCAGCTCGGTATTCGAATTGCTCGAGCTGAGCGGGCTCTCCATCCCCTGGTGTACGATTTTTACTACCATAAATTCATTATACTATTTCATTCACACTTATCATAATTTCTCTTATTAAGCAACGAATCTTGTAATTCTAATAACTCTCATTAGCAACTTTTTAAGTGGCTTTTCAGAAATCAGTCAAAATCAAACAAAAAAGAACACTTTCACTTTCCACCTTACACTTTCACCTCAATTACTTGGCAGATCACGTGCCGTAAGTTAATTAAACAAAAATTAATAAGTTACTTAAAAAAAATGCAATCACACACACATAGATTTATTTGGCTTTATTTGCACGACATAGTTTTATAGTATACCGTGCGCCCAAATGTATGCTTCTTTCTGAGTAAGTGAAAATTTGTTTGCAAACAAAAGGCGAACAAAGCATGCGAGAGTAAGCAAAACGGAAAAGGAGTGAATGTGATAAGTAGAGGAAGGTGAATGGAGGGAAGAAGGCACTTGACGGAATGTGGGTGTGCAGCAGGCGAAAATGATGATGATGCTTTTGAGGATAATGATTGTGCTGATAGGAAACGTTGTACGCACGTTTGATGAGTAGAATATTTTTAGCTTTAAGTAAAAAATGCATAGCTCATCAATTATGCAGTAATTAGAATTTAATAAGAGGAGAGAGTAGATAGAAAAAATGCAAAATGCAGCGTTTACTAACCATCGCGTTATGGTAAAGCGTAAAAAGCAAGTGAAATAGTCGCGTAGCAGCAGACTTCCATTTAAATGCATGTATGTTTGTATATATGTGTATTGTATCCCCTTAACAAATATGATTTTTTTGTTAATATATGTATGTATATTTATAATCTTTTTATCAATGAAAAACTTTATCCTCTCATCTAATGCGACCGTTTACACATTAATCTAGTTTTAGCAAGTAATCTGCATAATAAATTTCATGCAATATACCACTATAGTAGACTACTACAACTACTACTACTACTTCTATAGAAACTCTTAGCAGTTACTATTTTAAGCTACTACTTTTTCTACTACTATTTTTTCTACTGCGCTTCTACTACTATTAATAATAATAAAAATGAAACTACTACTCTTCTTATTACTTTTATTGCTAATACTACTACTACTATTATTACTATTGCTACGACTACTTATACTACCACTACTACTTCTATAGAAACTCTTGACATCTACTATTTTTAGTGTAAATTAGTACAGCTCGCTAATTTTTTCTCTTAAAAGCTACTACTTTTTCTACTACTATTTTTTATACTACTTTTATACTACTATTAATAATAACAAAAACAAAAACTACTATTCTTATTACTCTTCTTTCTAATACTACTACTACTACTACTACTACTACTACTACTACTACTACTACTAATACCTTTACTACTCCTATAGAAACTCTTGGCAGTTAAAATTTTTAGTGTAAATTATTACAGTTCTCTAATTTTTTCTACTAAAGGCTGCTACTATTTCTACTACTATTTTTTATACTACGTTTTTACTACTATCAGTAATAACAGCAAAGAAATTAATACTGTTCTTATTACTTCTATTGGTAATACTACTAATACTATTATTACAATCACTACTATTGCTACTACTACTACTACTAAAGAAACTCTTGGCAGTTCTTACTTCTGGTGTAAATTATAGTCATTCCCTAAATTTTTTTTTCCAAAAACTACCACTTTTTCTGCTATTTTTTTAATACTACGTTTCTACTACTATTATTAATAACAAAAATTAAACTACTACTATTCTTACTACTTTTATTCCTAATACTACTACTATTCTTATTACATTTATTCCTAATACTATTCCTAATACTACTACTATTCTTATTACTTTTATTCCTAATACTACTACTATTACTACTATTGCTACTGCTACTAAAGAAACTCTTGGCAGCTATGATTTTTAGTGTAAATTATTATCATTCTCTAAATATTTCTATCGAAAACTACTACTTTCCCTACTACTATTTTTATACTACTATCTTTCTACTACTATTTTTCTACTATTGTACTATTTCTACTGCCATTGATATTAAGAAAAATTAATATATCGCTACTATTACTAACAACAACATTACATCATTCCATCATTTTCTAAACATTTCACCTTAGTTAAAATACCATAATAAATATTTATTACATAAAATGAACTCGAAAACTAATAAATCGTGACTTTTCTCAATTCAACAGATTCAAAATATTCATAAGCAAAATGCAAACTCCCCTCAGTAAAATTGCTTTAAAAACAATTAAGAGTGAAGTGTAAAATTAAACAAAAATAAATTAAAAAAGTATTTCACGCTAATCGCGTGGGGAGTGCAAACGAAACACAAACCATCAACAACAACAACGGCGCGCTCAGTGCAGTTGACAACCTCAGCGGTGGCATTCAGCAAACAAAACTGACCGATGCAACTAAAAGAGAATATAACAAAATATAGTAAATGAAGAAAAATAAAAACAAAAAACAACAACAAATTTCCGCAGAAATCCCCATTGTTAATGTTACAACAATAAGAACAACAACAACATGCATGCCTTCACCACAACCCGCCACAACCCTTCAACTACGACCACAACTCGTGGCCAACACAACACAATTGGCCTTTTAAGCAGCTTCATGCGTCGCTTATTAAAACTTTTGATTAGCTGCATTCTCATGCCGGCCATGCAACATCACATTCACATTAATTGGTCTCCAATGTCAACATCTCCAATGTCATCCAGCGTCATCGTTCATGCCTCGACGATTTCCGTTTCGGTCACCATGTCTGCCGCTGTAAACGCTACAGCTAATGCCAGCACAGGAGAGGACGCTGCAGCGGAAGGATTATCTGTGCCAGTAACAGCTGAGCTGAATGTTGGTGTTGTTGCAGCAGCAGCTTTATCTGGTTTGGGTGCACGCGCTCCCGCCTCTTGGTCAGTGGCTGCTTCGCATATGCGTCTGACACAGCGTAATAATCATGCGAATATCTCCGAGTTGTTGGATAATTTATTACGTGGCTATGATAACAGCATAAGACCGGGATTCGGTGGTAAGTGGAATCATTAGAAAGAAAATACATATAATAAAAATATATAGAGGTTTACATATATTAAATGGGTTAAGGTGTGGGATCGGGTAAAAGTTGTTTTGCAAGTCCTTAAATCTTAGTCAACGCTCGACGATAGTAGGACCAAGAGAAAGTAGCGAGCAGAGCTGAGTTAAATTTGACAACGTACTAAATGGGAGAACGGAGTTGTCTCACCAAAGGTCTTTTACTATGATCATATCTCCTAGGGATCTTTAGACACTCCCAAATAACTTATATTAGAAAACCGAGATATGTGATTTTTTGCCTACGGTTAAAAGCCAAATTATTCCAACCACACTTCTCTGAACAGTTATCTCGAGCCAACCATGCATGCCCACTTCCATAAGGTTGGCGCAGAAAACATCGAGAGAGAAGTGACGTCTTAATCAGCTGAAGATCGGACACTCGGGAAGGTAGAGCTTCAACATTTCATTATCTTCTGTTTATCTCTAGCACTCAGACCTTCTACTTTGGGTAGCTCCTGGATATGATATCCCAGGGTTATATGCTCCGTCAATGCAGCCACAAGAATAGCAAGTTCTCCTTTGCTCAGTGTTTCCAAATTGAGTTTGTTTACAATCCACGCCGTCCTACAATAATTTAAGGGTACTTCCTGCACTTTGTAAGAACCAGTATCCGCTGGTTTAAGCTTAGAAAGAGGAAGATCTCGACTTCGCTGGAAGGATCATATGGAAAGCGACTTCATTTAACTAGATTTCCCGGTGACAAAAGCATAAAGATGGATCAAATGGCACGTTATCGTTAATTCGGATATAATCGCGTGAGCAGGATCCCCTCTAATGAAGAAGAAGAACAAGTGTCTGAAGCTGTCGTAAGTGACAGCCGCGCCGACCTTCTACATCGGGGACCCTGCGTAATCGGGGACCCTGCGTAATATTCACACCGTTTTCCGGCGATGGTCTGTTAACTACGTCTTTATTAAATGACCCCCATTTGGCTTGAGTTTAGACAAACTTAATTGTTTCCATTGTCACTGCGCTGCCTACCAGAAATCTAATTCATTCCCCATATTCCATTGAAGCGGTTGCTCATTTGCCATCTTCAATAACAACCACGATCTCTTGCTTGGAAGACAAAGTTGTCCTCATTGAGTTTGGAGCTACCTTCCTTGCCGCCCGCCATCAGAAGAACCCCTATTAAATAGATTTGAATATCTTCAAACCTGCTATGAAAGGAGTATATGGCTCGCACCTGGCAAAAGGTTTCTTTTTTTCGGTCACATTGTACTCGTACCTTTAGCATGACATCAGTTATCCAATTATTAAGAGCTTATGGATGAATTGCAGTTAGCGCTGCAACATACAGCGAGGACTGCCATTGCTTTTGCTGAAGCAGTTCGTGTTGTACGCGTAATCAGATGCGCTGTGCCTGTTCCAAAGGTTTAAAGCGCACTTCTTACTGATATCGCCCACCATACTGGCGCGCCATTTACGAGTAAATGTCTCAAAATACTTTTGTTAAGCTAATACAACATTTTTGGTTGTAGCTCTCATTTTGGAGCACTTGTCTTTCTGCAGACATTCCAATTTCGGAGCACTTTAATGGCCTTGCTCTCGATACCTTCGCTCCAGCTGAGCTGTTTATCGAGTTTAATGCCAAGATGTTGGTGTTGAAAGATTTTATAGCAGTTTCTCTTCAGGATGGTGAATTTTTGTCTTCCTTGTGCCGATCAATAACAGTTTTCACTGTATTCAAAATGAGCCTTTATCACTGAGTAGACTTTTAGGCATTGGATTGGCGTTGCGAATCTCGATGATGGAAAAGTTTGCACAATTTTATTTCTTTGAAGTAGAAATTCAACATACACAAACTGCTGGTATGTAAATAGTTTGAAATTAACTGGTATTTAACTAGTTTGAAATTAACTGGTATTTAACTAGTTTCGAATTAACTGATATTTAACTAGTGAGAAAATGCTGCGAATTTGGACTACTGCTCACAGGGTAAAAAAATGCAAAATATGTTTGTTAATGTAAAAATGAAAACTAGCAAAATTTTAGTCTTAATATCTCCACTACTCTGACCCACAATGTCACGGTAATGTGGCTTGAATATAGTTTTGTAGTAGTATGGGCTTCCTTACATAATTTTTCCATTTTCTAGGTACCAAACTTTTACTCAGCTCTTTTAAAGAGAGCTGAATGAACTACTTAAGCCATTGATTGTTAGGCTGGAGCCTCTACTCACTCCGCTATTATATGTTTTGTGACGAAATTAGTTCAAACTTGTCTAAAGTTCGATTGACGACTTTATTTTCAATACGAAAATAACTGTTATTTATAATAAATACTTATGTAAATAAACCGGAAGCAATTATCATTACAATGACGACCAAAAATACACCCCCTGTGTGGTAGGTTGAGTTGTGTTAATCAAATAAAGTGCTGCGACAATTTAGTTATTATATCTACATCAGTATTCTAAATTCAATACGCTTAAAAGTGCTGCAAAAATGTAGAATGTGAAGAAAGCAAATTCACTGGCATACATATTGAGAATTTATCAAGACAGCATCCGCAACTTAATCAAAAGTGAACTGCATAACCGGCCAACTAGACGATGATGTCTTCATCATCATCTCATCATCTCATCATCTACACCAAACACTCAAGTAATTGGTGTGTAATTTATCAATTGCGTACGCATTCAGTGAGAGAAGGAAATGAAATTTTAAATACTGAAAGTCCAACGCGAGTATTTTTTAAATAGAAAAGAAATCCTTGCTTTATTGGACGCCAACAGCTGTGCTGTACTATTTGGGGTGGATTGTTTTTTTCTTTTGTGCGAAGGGCTTAGGAAAATGAACTGTTGAAATCTCCAAATATTAGATTGTTTCGCACAATCCCATAAGTCCGCCATAGTTTACTTAAAGCGAGATACACATACATATATACTCTCATTGAGTGGAAAACTTTCGAAAATCTTTCTTCATATTTTCGGAAATTTTGGAAGTGAGCATATATAAAAACATCAACTGAGGCAGTTGCTTATGGAACAACAACAGCGCGATGAAGTAGATAGAGCAAAGCAAGACGAAATCAAACTCAATTCTGACACCGCGCTGTCTTCCAAGCAGCTCTTGTGGACATTACTCGAGCTGCCAAATGGGAAACCACCTTAATGGCGACATCTATTCGGTTTCTAGTTGACAGCGAAGCAAAAACACAAAGTCCGAAATGCTTAGGACATGTTAAGTCATTAGCGCGAAAAACACCGTGAATAACACTCCGATCCTGGGTTACATGGATGTAGAAGGCAATTAAAAAGGCAGCTCCACCTTCACTTCCAACAAAACGCTCGTTTCTACTTTTCTTTTTTTTTTGTCGCAGACAATTGAATTTAGTTTCGGCGCTAACGCCCTTTAAACTTATTTTAACCTTTGGGTTCGTCCATAAGCCACGCGGTTAGGTTTTAGTACTTCCGGCAACCCTCCCCCCATTCTCATTTAACCCAACGTTGCCATTAAACTAACTGATTTACCGCTTAACCGAGATATGAACTTTAGGATATTATTGAAAACGTAAATTACGCTTATCGAAATCTTTTCCCAAGACCATCTGGTAGCTGATCTAAACTGTTATCAGTAAAGAAGTAACCGATTATTTTCCACTTCATTGAAACTTCTTCTCGATAGAGGTTATTATTGTATATTTTTATATACTAATTAATGGCTTGGATCAGGCAAAGCTATTCGCCAGCAACGAGGCTCAGGAAATAAGCTGTATCGACGAAAGGAAAGGAGTATAAGGCTCGTTGGTCTAAGAGGGCATCCAAATAGGTGCTTTTTCGCGCAGATACGATAAATACGGGTAAAGTCTGGAAGAGTAGGAATAAAAGCTATTACAATATTCAAGGCTTAGGTATGTCAGTATTACGTAGACGTCACGACGCTGCTCCAGATCTTTGTATGCTATAGATTGTGGTCGAATTCCAATGGTATCATTTACTGGTAGAGAGATGAGGAACAAGTAGCGTAGAATAGTTGTGTAGCATATTGCTGAATGAAGTCATTCGTTAAGACTTGCCACATAAGAAGGTTTCTTGTGCTGGTCTCCAACCGGTGTTTTGGCAGGACGGTAGCTGTTCATCGGCGCTTTGCTAGGACCCGGCAGGTTTAATATGGCATAAGCAATCCGATAAAATTGTATGTTACCAACGACGTCACTCTGTCTTTGCACAAGGCGTAGACGGTATCGACTTTGTATCGTTAAGTTCTCTACTGGATAATTTTTTTCAGTGTATGGAAGACTTAGTAGTTTTCATTTAAACAGAGGTCGAAAATGGGCAATAATAATTGAATATTAGGCAAGGGAAGACAACAGCCTAGGGAATTCCCTGCTTAATTTTTTTTAAGTTTGATTGATTTTTCGAACCAGAAATGCCATTGATGAATGTCGCATCGCTTCAGTAAATCATAGTCCACAAGTCATCAGGAGCCATCGATATCTTTCAATTGTAACACTGTGTAATTGACTATGTTCTAAGGATTTCCACAAGTGTAGTGATTAGAAAATATTTCGCAGGGTTAATTTTGATTGAAGCCATGAGGTGAAGTGCGTTGGTGGTTCTGAGCACTTTTTTGCTTTCCAACGTCACAGAGCACTTTTACCCTATTGTTTGGATAAAAACGTGACTTAATGTCTTGCATAGTTTCTATGCAAATCTTCATCGTATAAGCTATAGCTAAATATAGGCTCTTACATCGCTGGAGGTTCTGTGTATTTCTCAAAGTGACTAGACTGAAGTTGCTTTAACTATTGGGTTGCCCAAAAAGTAATTGCGGATTTTTTAAAAGAAAGTAAATGCATTTTTAATAAAACTTAGAATGAANTACGGAAATAATAAAGTAAAATATGACGAAAATGCTCCTTTGTGGGCTCCATATTAAAATTGACGCCAAACAAACAAATGTAAACAAAATTTCGCGCACCTTTTTTCTAAAGCAAGCTAAAAGTAACAGCTGATAACTGACAGAAGAAAGAATGCAATTATAGAGTCACAAGCCGTTGAAAAAATTTCTCAACGCCGACTATATGAAAAATCCGCAATTACTTTTTGGGCTAACGCAGTCGAGGCGGGTCGAGCTCATCTGAAACAACTTAACTTATATCAAAAGCTTTTTCTTGAAATTCCAAGATAATAATAGAGTTTAAAAAAAAGTAGTCGCCAATTACAATTACATCTATCACTTTATTTATATGGAGGTTTAATATTCTGAAAAAAATATTTTTTCAAGCTGATCTTTGTATCGAACTGATCATTTAATCCTCTGAATGTATATTTTTAAAATCCTTATCAACGAAGCCGAAACTTTTTGAATTAATATTCTTTAAAATCTTTCAATAAATACAGTAAGTATTCTTTCGAAGCGCCTTGAGTACAGAGTACGCGCGTACATCGTTCAACCAATCATTTTGCCTTCCTGTCATGATAAACGCGAATTTCTCTGCAGCAAAGCTGAAGCTGTTTAAACGCGGAAATTGTTCGCCGCTAAACAAGCTTGTCAAGAAATTCGCAGCAACAGAATTACATACATAGGAAGCTGTCAATTTAGAAAATTTCGTTTGAAATTCACCTTTTCTTTTGCTATTTTTATTTTGGAAATGAAATTTGCTTGAAACTACAAGCAAAGAGAAGCGGCGAATCCGTTATTCAAAGGAAAATTCAAAAACATGCAAATTTCGAAAATTTGTCAACAAATAAGCTAATGCTTACAAATTCACTTTGACCATGTTTTCTTTTTCAACTTATTCTTTTTTCTTATTATTTTACACACTTCTGGCCGACACCTGTCGAATGAAGTGACCTTTCGCTAGTTTCACAGTTAATATGACAAAAAGCAAAAAGTTGTTGAAAATAATTGCCTTTTATGGCACAAAATTTCTGTATTTTAACACTTCAACACAGCAGAGTACATTGGGTGTTTAAAGGTAGATGCAAATCGTATTTGTAAAGGGTGATTTTTAAGGGCATGTAAGACTAAATATTTTAACTTTATTATGTTCTATAAATGACGGCTTCGGTTGGCTCGAATAAATTCCAGTCGAGAGGCCTGATTTTCGACAAATTTTTGTCAGCAATAAGGAGCCGAATATTCTCTTCCAAAAGGTCAATCCTTTGTAGCTACACTTGAGCCACAAAAATGTGTTTAGCAGTGTTAAATCACATGATCTTTGAGGCCACGACACGACGAAGATAATATGCTCACCAAAAGTTTTCTTCAATTCAACTGACTGTTTCGTTAGCTTTATGGCAAATTTAGCCGTTCAACCGTCTTGTTGTAACCCAAAATTTTCCACATCAACACCGTCGAATTCAGGCACGAAATAGTCATTAATGATGGCTCTATAGTATTTCTCATTGGCTTTAACATTATTGCGGTCTTAATTTTTAGGTATGGACCAATGAATCCCTCTGCTATTGGAACACTCCAAACAGTGACTTTTTGAGGATATAGCGTCGTCTCAATAATGGTTTGTGGATTAGCCTTACTTAGCATCGCAATTCACACAAAAGAAAGCTACATCGCTGAATAAAACTTTCTTGTGGAAATTGGAATTTGGTGGCCATCACGGCTTTGAGTCTAATTACCGAACACGCGCTGTAAGGCATATCTGGGGATGCGTATTATCTACTAGAGTAAAGGTGGTGCAAAATCGATCCAAAGTGGCTCGAAATGCCGACTCTTATGAAACAAGTAAGAGTTGTCAAATTCCAAAAAAAAGTATTGTCTCATAGAGAATCGCACGTCTAATGTACACCCTTAAAGTATTTAAGCCTTTATAGTGTACACCGGCGAAGCTTGATTAAGCTGTTCCGTTTCCTTTCTATCTTTCTAGTCACTTTCGTGTTTTGCCTTTGTGATTGACGGTAATAAAATTTGTCTCGCAGTCTTATTGATTTCAAAGCGCTAAAATCACTTTGAGGTGTGAAGTTTTGAATGTTCTCCATGAAAAAAATGTATCAATGGCTCATTTTAAGAGTGTCCTTGGTCAAAAAAAAGACAAAAATAGACAGAAAAAGACTATCAATGTGGTCTGAAGTCTCTTCATTTTCAAACAGCTAGAAGTGAAGCTTCTTCTGCTTAGTATAATCAAACTAAAGACTCCAAAGCTTTTACTAAAAATTTCCTATTCGATGCATGCTGAAATTTTATTCTCCTAACTACATTCAGCTCTTCAAGTAGCTCAATTTAAATGAACCTTCCTTCTGTTAAGAGCATTCATCTCATATTTTCTTATCAATCACGAGCATTCAGTTAACGAAAAAATCCATCGTACCACAAATATGTAGATAAGGCAAAGAGTACAAGTTCTCTCCGTTCCGAGCTCCAAGCCTAACATATTTACTCTACTACCTATTCTTCAATGGTTTTGAGACGCTCAAATCGTACGCTATCAAATGGAGATATCTTTCTGATATTGGTCTATTACATAATCATCGTCGGATCTGAGCCAATATGAAAATTTGGAGCTTCTCTTCATGAACTTTCGCCATTTAATATATTGATTTGCTTTCAAAGCTTATTTAAATCCATCCAATACTGAACTTGGTGCAACTTGAACTGCCTAAGCTATTGAAAAGTAAAGTCTTCTCTTGACGAACAAAGAGCAAACTCAAACTGAACTAAAAATCATGTTTTCCGGATCGATGAAAATACCTCAGCTCTGAAAGCAGTACTCGTCGGTGATGTAGAGGAATAAGAACATCTTTCGAAGAATTGCCTGTCTTCCCTTTGTGCCTTCAATAGGCGCCAAATGTCGCGAAGAAATGACAAGTGACACTCTGCTGTAGACACGAAAGCGTTGTCTACGTCAAGAAAAAATAAATGTCAGCTTAAACAAAATAAAGCATTCATAGCACTCATCTGACTGAGGTGCCGATGGTGGCTATATGATGTGTATCGTTTCTTTTCCTGGGAATGGTTTCCCCAATTTCAGTCAAAATGAATTGTTGGTATATAGTAGATCCACCAAGTCTAACCAGGGAACTTCGCCCGAAATGAAACTTAGATTCCAAATGTAAAACAACCGCAAAAATTCTGAAGCTGAGACTGATGCCTATAAATTTATTATGCCATCCTCGATTGGGGTTCATTAGCAACTGTTGTAGTATGATCACTAAATTTCAGTAAGAAGTACTCCCTCCATAAACTCAGTATGCTCTGAACAGCGATGTTTGGGCACCTCTGTGGTTACCTTAACAGCATGATCCGGTTTTGATACCTGCAGTAAGTCCTTGCGTCTTTTTTCAAAACATTTCCTATGCCAGCTAGTCTCTCGTGCTCGTTATACTCAATTATTTTGGCTTCTCTTTTATTCTCTCTGAGAAATACGTATCACTTCTAACTCTACCAAGGCGTGATTTGGAAAGAAAAAGCATCGACTTGGCATTTGAATGCAGCGGTGTATAATAGGCTCTCTCTCTTTCTCTCCGCAGTAGCGCAGCTCTCAGGTAACATCAGGTTTTTTTTATACCTTCCTGAGAGCTAAATAGTTTGTCTGGCGACGGTACGTAGGAAGCATAGAAATATCGTTTCAAAGTCGCCTTATGATGATGAGTCGTTGCTGAATGCACTCAATGAAAGGGAGCGTAAATTGTGTGAAAAGCTGTTCAGCTCTCTGTCATGATTGCCGCTCTTGGGTAATCTATAGGTAGTCCAAACTCTTTAGAACATATAAATTTTCGTAATATATTCGTAAAAATAAATAAAAAATCAATTTTTTCAGGTCCTCCCGCCACTGTGGAGGTAGACATAATGGTTCGAAGTATGGGTCCCATTTCAGAAGTTGACATGGTGAGTAAGTTTATTTGTATTAAAGTAAACCAATAAATCAAAATAAATCATAAAGAGATGCCAGTAGTAACTGTATTATGTTTTAAAAATATTTTTTCTTTTTTTTTTCAAAGTAATAAGCCACACAGCCACACAGTTTGAGTTAAAAACAAACCCTCCACACTGATTTCATGTTGAAATCGCAAAACGAGCCATTTAATTGTATAATTTATTTATTTATTTATTTATTTATTTATTTATTTACACACATGAAGCAGCAGAAGTCAACCAAACCAATTACACTCAAAGACGACAAGAAATATGCCGATGGGTGGATGGGAGGTACAGACGCCGCAAACGATTAAACGCAAACAGACTTCAATTTATTATTTGTTGATTTAGCAACCGCCAACGCAGCCTCCACCACACCACTCTCACCATTCTTTACACTCCCCACCCCCATCCACCATTTACACTTGTTATTTAATCAACACTTCGACGCCTTCATTCATTGCTGATTGCTTAACACCTCAAAAGTGATTTTCTCTCAGGCAAATTTGTCTTTAGCAATTTTCTTCTTTTTCTTCCACTTTTCTTCCGCAAAGTAAATAAATATTTTTGGTATACTTATATACATATATGTATGTATGTTTATTTATTTATTTTCTTGCAGACATATTCCATGGACTGTTATTTCCGTCAATCATGGGTCGATAAACGTTTAGCCTTTAAGGGTGCACAGGACACGTTGGCTTTGAGTGTATCGATGTTGGCTCGTATTTGGAAACCCGATACATATTTCTACAATGGCAAACAGAGTTATCTGCATACAATAACAACGCCAAATAAATTTGTGAGAATCTATCAAAATGGCAGAGTGTTATATTCGAGCAGGTGAGTGGGTCTTCCTCGCTGTAGAGGGAGCCGTCATTAGTGAATATTATCAATTAATTGTTACTAAACAGGGTGTTAATCGCGAGCCTGAAAGGATATCTAGCACCCATATGAGTAAGCAGATTCTTTTCCCCATTATTCTAGATCCTCACTAAAAAATCGCTATTAACGTAAACGAAAAGTTCCCACAAACCCCCACTGACTTTATGCAAGGAACACTCAAAAAGATATTGTCCTAGACTACTCGACGGGATCTCTATGTAAACTTAAACAAAGTGGAAGTGGTGTTCAATATAAGGAGATATAAGATCCCCAAAAGACGAAAGCTCACATTTAGAGCTCAATATAGTGTTCAGATATTGGTGGTATATCAATCAGAAGTACGATTTCATGTCAAGCTAGACAGAACACGTTGCAGCCCTATTACATTCACTGACAATTCCTTTAGGTAAGAATGGAATGATAATTACCCCGCTCTGGGTGGCATCCTGGAAATATAAATGGATGGATAACAGCTTGAGGGGAGACTCGACGGAGGTGTCTCTCAAAGAATACTAAAAGGAAACTCTCTTCCACGCTATCGTACGGAATGTCTTGGTTTGTACAATGCTAGACCTCAAAATTACTGCACCCTACTGCTAGATAGTCTCTCAAAAATAGACTGTCGTCAGAGTCACAGATCAAAGGCGGTTCATTAGAGAACCGAAATGGTTGGAGAACGTAGTCAGGATACCATTATTTTTTCCAGGTTTTACTTGTGGAGGTCTTCGCTGTTAAGAAGTAGGCTATGTTACCTTGCAGAAAACCACAAGGAAAATTTCAACATCTACATTGATAATCAAACGGGAGTAGTGTATAAGGTTCTGTCGGAAATCAGCTGCATGTCTACTAGGTTTCAGATTACAAAAGCATTGTAAGGAACAAAATAGTTTAAAAGGTTGCTAGAGCTTGTCTTTTAGAGGACTTAAAGAAGTCCCCAACTGAATATAAAAGTTCATTTAAACTTAGAAAATTTCGTAAATGTTTTAAGGGCCGATTACTTTTTTCTTCTTCTCCTTCCTCTTCTTCCTCTGCTTCTTTTCTTCTTCTTGCTTTTCCTCTTCATTGGTATAGACACCACTTTCACGATTCTAACCGGCTCATTATAGCGCGCCATTCGTTCTCTCCTTTCGTTGTTTTGTGTCAGTTGGAAGTACGAAGTGAAACCAGGTCGCTTTTCTCCTGATCCTTCGAAGTCTTTTCCTTTCGTTGTTGCTTTCATAGCGGGATAAGAAAAAGGAGATTTCAAGAGCTTTGTTTTGGTTCGTCGAGTGTGGACTTTACTTTGCAATCGCACTAGTTGCAGTAGTGATTCAACATTTTTATTGGTGTTTACGTTGATTCGTAGATTGAAGAAATAACAAAATGATTATATTCTTGTTGTTGTTGTTGTTATTACTGCGGGCAGCCTTACACCGTTTCGGAGCAGAAAAGATCAGTTTAAGTCATAGACGTCAGCAAACGGGAGGTCCACAAAGCAAGGAGTTTCAATAGGTTCGGACCAAATGGAAAGGGCGGTTAGATGGATTGGTTTTAAGGTGTATGCAAAAGTGGTTGGCGATGAACGGCGCAGTTCGTGTCGAACAGGGCGGTTAGTGTCGTACGGCGAGGTCAATGTCGTGGGGATTTCTTCCGCTAGCCAGTTGTGCGCACTGGAGTTGAACCGGATTTTTATCCGGCCAAGAGCTGTTTAGGGCAACAATTGACCCTATTTAAAACGAATTATTGAAACACATATAGTTCAATCGGCTCCCGTCATCCGGTTGTAGACTAAATATTCTGTGGGTAGCCAAGAAGCTCACGTTTGAAGGCGAGCTAAAGTAGAAAGAGGAATCCTCTTGCAATTTGTGGCGTACATATTGATCTTTTCCTATCTAATAGAAGACCTACAATTTATACTGAGCGGCCTCCGAACGCTTGATCGTTTTTTTATGGGTAGCTTTTATTTCCAGCCAGAATCGCACTCGGAGGGTTTGATATTCTTTGCCTAGGGGCGACCGCAATTGGAATGTTTAGCTTAATTTTTTATGTAAATTAATTTTCTATAACTTTTGGGATGTGAGTACGACACCAGTAGTTGAAGCCAAGGAAAAATGTGATCCAATGAAGAATCAAACAAAAGTCTCAGCTGATGATTACTTCATCTGGGGCTCGATTGAATCTCCAACTGGCACTACAAAGAGCCAACGAGTCTAAGTGAGCTTAATCAGCCAGCAATTGTAACCTAAGACAGCTTGTTTTTTTAACGAAAATCTTTTGTTTAATTTTGAAAAACTGTTTTTCAAAACTATTTCTACAATATTTTCTACTTCCATACACTTTCAGACTGACCATCAAAGCTGGCTGCCCAATGAATTTAGAAGACTTTCCAATGGACATACAAAAATGTCCACTAAAGTTTGGCTCGTGTAAGTAAAAGTAAAAATAAAAAGTCCGAACAACTGTCAAAAACTTAGAAGAAAACATACAAGTAAGTCAGTCAGTTACATCAAAATAAAAACAACAACACTAGCCACAAAGTGTATGCGATTGAGACCGCAAAATATCCAAATTGTAAATGAACGCTCAAAAAGGACATACACACAAGCAGCGCTGTTGCATGAAAACATTTTCTTTTAATATTCTTAAACACACACAAATCCTTTTATCAGCAAAATGCTTAAGGCCTCTAAGCAAATTATGCACTTTTATGCATATTTGTGCATACATACATACATACATATATATTTGGCCATAACTACACTAAGAGTGAGTACTATTTTTATTGCCCATTGACCTTGACGACTCAAAGACGTTAAGGAGCTATTTTGCGAATGGAGGAGGATAGTAGAAAACATATATGTATGTGTATATGTATGTATGTGTGTCTATAAATACATTTATAAGCTACATTTGAATAAACTTGTTTGGGTGTATTAGTGAAATATGACTATTAAATGCAATTCAACGAAATACTTGTGAGGAGAGCGATAAAAAAGAACACATAAATATAAACAACTGTTTATTTATACACAAATGACTGCTTTGCAAATACAGGGTCTCTCAATAAGAGGTGTTATTTTGTATTCAAAGAAAATTTGAATTTTTTTAGATAAATCATCGAATGTTTATTTTAAGGAAAAGAGGAAATTATGCCATTAAGGGGCACACCTAGTGTAATGCCCCAAAAAAAGGTGATTTTTGGGAATTATTATAAAAAAAAAAATACTTTATCAATTATTTCAAAATTTTACGAATATATTTATGCATATTTCAAGAAAATACACTAAAACTTTTGAATAAAAAAATTAAATATATTTTAAGTTATAGTCGATCTCCAACGGCGCGAAAGTAAAAGGTCCTTCACTGCTGCAGTGATTACGGTCTTCTCCGTAGATGAAATCTAAAAAAAATTCTCTACTAGATAATATTGTCTGTGCAATGATCTACGATAAAAAATATGAAAAATTGAATATATGGCGGCGTTTTAAAAAAGTAGTCGAATTTTACCCAAAATTTTGGTCGTTTTTGGTCTGCCAAAATTCGATTTTTTGATGAGATCAAAAATCGATAGGTCATTGTACGGAGAACTATATATAGAAGATTTAAAAAAAAATCGAGTTTGTTTTTGAGTAATCACTGCAGCAAATTCGGAAAATGCTGTTTCGAAAAAGACGCGTTTAAAGATAAAATGATTGTTTTCACTCGTAGCTAATGAGATTCTCTAGCTGCCGAGCGGCTGCTCTTTAAATTGCTATAACTCAAAAACTATTTGAGATATCGATTTGAATCTTTAATATGTTATTTTTAAATGTGTAATCTACCGAAATGTGAAAAAAAAGATAATTTTTTTCTGAAATTTCACACTAGGTGTGCCCCTTAATAATGGTAAACAAGATCAGCTAAATGGTCGCCACGCCTACACTTACAGGACCGTATCCTTTTGATAAAATTTTCCAACATCAAATCGCAAAGTGGTTGCTGTATGCTATAATTAGCTTCATGAATTCCAAATTTGAAGTCTCGAAACGACGTTGACCTATTGGCGTAGATCTTATCTCTTATGTGGTTCCAAAGAAAGAAGTCTTAAGACGTTAAATCACCTGATCTCGGAGGTCAATTGCGATCATCTCTTCCAGAGATAACAGGGTTCGGCAACTTTTCCCTCAAAATATCGATAGTTTCGCTGCTTGTGTGGCACGTAGTGCTGTCTTGTGGAAAAGTAAACGTTATCCAGGTCAATATCCAATGCCGGCAAAAAAAAAAACCATTTATCATCTCTCCATAGCGAAATTCATTCATTTTCGAAATAGTAAGGTCCAATGATCCCGGCGGTTGGATCATAAGCCGCAACAAGCAATTCCACGTTGAGAATGGCGAGGCTTTTCAATGATAACTCTTGGATTTTCCGAGCCCCAGAAGTGACAGTTTTGTTTATGGACTTTGCCATCGACGCGGAAATGGATCGGTTGATTTTTCGATGGAATTCAGGATCATTTTCATACATTTCAAGGACTCAATCAGCAAAAGCATGAAGTTGTTAACGATCGCACGGCTTGTATTCTTGTTTTAACTGAACTTTATAAGCCCTAAAACGCAAGTCTTGATGCAACTAACGGTGTAATGACGTTTGTGGAACGCCCAATTCTAAGGAATGAAGAAGAATGACCAAACACTTTTGGGGGGATGCAATTTTGTTATTCTTCACATCACTCACTTGTCCCAACAGTTCCATTTTTGAACCAGTTTCTTTATTGTGGTTCGACAAGGTGCGTCACTATGATCGAACGGCGATGTTTTCATCCTTTTTCTTACTGACGCGGTTTTTACTTGTCAAATGGTGAAAAATGACAGCTTCCGAGGTGACATCTACCGCGATAGCAGACTAATCAAAGTAACCTTCTCTTATTAGTAAACCTCTTATATGAGTACATACATACATACACACATATTTGAATATAAAATTTTATATGTGTTCGCGCTCACCATGTACGCTTATCCTCCTCATATGTGCCCCTATGCAGTTGGTTAATTTTTTTATTTTATTATTTTTTTTCACTTGCTTCTTTACCTCCTTCAGTCGCTTTGTGCTTCCTTCAATCTTCAGTCCCGCTGCGATTTGTGATATTAAAATGATTTAAATAGCTTTTATGTTGCCCACTCGTCCTTATAAATGTCCTTACGCGTGTATGTATAAGTGTATGTATGTATGTATGTCTATATGTGATGTACAACGCGTAAAACACGCCACACAAAAATGCCAATAAGAAAAGCGGCTGTAGTGGCTGTGAGAACTGTGGGAACTGTGGGAAGCGCAACTATGGAAACAAGTTAAGCTCGTTGTTCGTCGTTTGTAGTTCATTTAATCACTCATTCGTTTGTAGCGCAGAAAAGCAAAAGATTGCTTATTGTATTGTAACCCCCCTACGCGTCGCTTCTCCTTCCTCCATCCATCAAGTGCATAATCATTATTGTTTGTTGCACACTGCGAGCGGTCGAGAAGCTTCTGAAAGAGTGAACAGCAACGGATTTTCTAATGAAAATGTCTGTGCCTGCCTGCTTGTCCAACATTCAAACACATATTCAAGGATTTAATTGATTGCATGCAGTGTAAGGAGATTTTTGTATGCGAAATTCCATGAAAGTTTTTTATATGCACTAAAAAGACAGTATAACATACATATATATACGTATGGCTGAGGGAATAAGGAAGCGCAATGAGGGGGATCCGGTAGCCGATGACAGTAAAACAAAATATCTGCTGACATTAAACAAACTGGACATTCGCATTTGAACTCCGACGTCGAGTTGAATTGAGTTGAATTGAGTGGAGTCGGTGGGGCTGTTGGTCAGCGGCTTAGATCCATTGGGATACCGCCGTGCGGATCCTGTATGCAGCTTCTCTAATGTTCGCACCATTTTGCGTGCCTTATAAAAGCAACGAGATTGCTATTTAACGCTGAAGCTGGCTCAGCGAGGCTGTCGAAGAAGTGTTTTCCGAGGAACTTGTGTCGCGCAGATGTCAAAGCTGACCAGTGACCCGGGGTAGGGTTCAATAGATCTGTGCACCTTTTATTAGAGATAAAAGGGTTCCTGCTCTCGCTTATTCGTCTGCCATGCAATTGCCTGGAATGCTTGTCAAGCTGTCCGGTTAACCAGAACAGGGCAGTGTAACATTTAGGCGAGAGTTGGTTCAGATCGCTTCTACATTTTAACGCTACTGTAGAGATCGCTGGACTGAGCTGGACTGTCGCAATACATCGTTGCCCGTAGTCCTGCTGGTATATTTAAGTTAGTACACAGCGACTTCACTGAGTTCCACATCAAAGAGCTTGGAAGATGCTGCAATTGGTTTTTTAGTCTCATGGCCATATTTATTGGGAGCATTGGAGGGTAGATTCCACAGCTCACTTTTCTATTGAGCTTTAAGTCATCTATAAAGATGGCTATGGTTCCCAAATGGAGGGTATTGGCGTTTTCCCATTCATTTCACATTCTGGAGGTGGAGCAGTTCAACTCCTTCGACACTTCATATTCTGCAGTTCTTGCAAGCTGGAGTTTCATTCAGTGTCATTCCGTTGCAGCTAGGTTGTAATTTCTTGTATATGTCCAGAGAAAGGAAGTTGAGAAGACTTAGCTGTGCTTTTGAAGTAGTTAATGGCAATGCTCCTTTTACCAGGATAGCAGCCGACTATATAAATTCAGTACACGATACAGGAGTAGTAATAAGTTTCACCAACTAGGCATATTGGCTTGAACCTGTGGACTCTTACTTGTGTTCTCATGGACCTTAATTGCGATCATTTTCTACCGTGCTCTAGTGTATGCTGGCAGACTAAAGAAAAAATAATACATCTGGAAAGCCTAGAGCGCTGCTGCCTGTCAGCTAGAACACAGACGTATGGTTGGCGTAAAAGATTGTGTTTTCAAACAGAGCAAAACGACTTTCGTAGCTTCAACTTCACGATGGTCAAATGATTAGATGTAAACGTTGTAGCACCCTGGGATCCCAGCTCAAGCCTCGCTGCAGGCAAATTCATTGTGGGTTTTTTTGTTTTTGATTAAGTAGAAATTTTCACCATCACGCCATTGGTTTGTTGTTGATATTTTGAGTACGCCACGAGACTGAGTTTCATTTTCTAATGAGCTCAAATTACGTTAGTCTCTACGACACAGCGATAGCCTAGTGGTTGGAGGCTATCACATGAGATTCACAGTTCCACGGCTCGCTGTAGGCAAACTCAGTTTTATTTAGTTTTTATTTTGTTTTTTTTTTTTGCTAAAGCAGAAATTTAAAAATACCTGAATGAACTAGTATATAACTGGTTTGACGCTGATGCATGGTCGCACAATTCACAGAGTTAAAAATACCATTTGCTTAGCTAGGAAATGTATGGAAGGTGTACTAGTTAGTGCATAAATGCAAACT